ACTTGATGAATTACTATATATATATATATATATATATATATATATATATATATATATATATAACCTGATTTTGTTAAATTTTGTGTCATTTTATGTATTTTTGAAGGTGCTGAAAAACTTGAGGTTTGTAGAGTTTATCTAGAATATTACTTTAGATGTACATCTTATACAAAAGCAAGAACTATCACCTAATTTTTGGTGCCCCAATTGGATGAATATTAATATCACGCACTTCATTCAGTACCCCTCTAATTTGACTGGCTCTTGAGTGAATATTAGTAAAAAAAATATTTATCCAGTCATGACAACGATTACCGAATACTGCTTTCACTGGTTCCCAGACTCCATGAATTCAAGCGCCCTACGAGGCTGGCATCCCGCTCCCACCCTTACACTGTAGAAACTTTCAAATGTAGCCGTCTCTTCTACTCCAATAGCTTCCTACCTCGCACCTATCGCCTGTGGAACACCCTTCCAAATTACTGTTTCCCTGAGAGCTATAATCTCCAACTATTCAAATGTAATGTCAATCGACATCTCCAGTTACCTTGATCTATTCACTATCCCTCTCCTCATCCTTTCTTCTATCACTCCTATCTGCTCTCGCTCCAAATCTTCTGCATCCTAGTGGCTTCACGCCTTGCTCGGGGCGTAATGCTTAAAAAAAATATAGACACAATGAAGATTTGATGCTTATAATCGAAAAGATAAGGATATTAGAATAATATGTATTATTTACAGTTTTATCTAATAACCCTGTGTTTCTTTTATGCCATCAGATATGGGAATCTAGAACTTACACTGGGATCAAACCGCTTGCGTTAGGATAGAAAATGAACTCAATGGCTACACAAAATTACAAGGATGTGTCTTCTCTCCAGATTTATTCGACTTCTACAGCGATATAAGGGAAATGGAGATCCTATCAGGATTTATTATCAGTGGGCGTAACCTTAAGATTATATATGCAGATGTCATTATGTTCATGACTAACTCGATAGGAAAATCACAGGACCTCTTAAACAGTGTAGTATAAGAAAGCGAGAAAAAAAAAAGAAAGAACCACCAATTGCAATTATGGTCATCAGTTGAAGAAAAATGACATAAGTAGAGATACAAATTTGAGATATCAATATCGAGCAAGTGCAGAAGTTCAAAGTTCTGTGAATTTTTGTAACAGAGAGTGGAAAATCCGACACCAAGATCCGAACACGTACTGGACTAGCGAAAGAAGCATTTCTAGATGCGGAGAAACGGAAAAAATCGGTAGAAACAAAGAGTGCTGGATTGCGATGTAAAATGCATCCCCTTATAAAGCAGGGAATGATGGATAATCTTCCCAAGGGTGAGGAGACAACTAGAGGCAACAGAAGGATACCGTATTGTTGGAGAGGGGATAAAAGTTAGTGGAACTTCGTTGATGCATCGTATTTGGCTAAATGAGCCAAATATGGTACATGGACGAAGTTTCACTATTTACTCTCGTTACAAATTTCTTTTCCCATATTCCCATTATTGAAGAATTCCCTCGGAGAGTTTTCGCAATTTATTTCTCATTTCTAATCACCTCAACTCACTATTTTTCATTCTCATGCAATTAAACCAGGGCTAGTGTCCTGTTATAGAAGTATGAACTTTTCTTGTTTCATTTCTGGGGTGAGCTGTGATTTTGACCGGCGAGTGTAGTACTTGAAACTGCTTTTAGTCTGAAACGGCGCCACGAGTTTGGGGCAACTAATAAAGACTCAATTCACTGCAAGAATAACTATCTACGGCAGGAACTTAATAACTAATATACATTTTCAAGGCATCTGTTAAATCATGAATGGAGCCAAATATGGTAAATGGACGAAATTCCACTATCTAATCTCGTTACAAATTTCTTTTCGTGCATTTATCTCGTGTAGGTTATTTCACTATCCGCGGCACAAGAACGACGCTGATTTAATAAGCAGTTTCATATTCCTTAAGTTGGCCATTTTGACTTGAGGCTCTTACCTGTTTTGAAAGGATCCAGTCGTTGTATTCCAGTCCTCGTCTTCAGTGCAATCAATCTGGAACATTAATTTTTCGATATGTTCTTGATACGGAACATAAAGATAAATAGATGCGAACAGCCTAATACGAGGGTCACTCCGAATGTAATGCCTCGATAATTTATTATGTCGGCCCATGGCAACAGAGAAGAATGTTGGTTGTATGACAGTCGATGTTGAATATTCCCGCCGATACCCATAATATTTTCCCGTTTAAGAAGTAGAAGCTGAATGACTGCCTGGTAAAGTCACGTCTGACATGAAAGTGCCTATGAAGCAGAGCTATGTCATTACAGAAACAATTATATTCGTTGACACTTATTAATTTGTTGAGCATTTATGGGGAATAGACAGTGGACGTGGTCACAAGCAGTAGGTAATGTTTTTCAACCGTGACCCCAGAAATCGTGTGAGACGAGTCCCGTTACGAGTTCCACGCCCATTCGTCACTGGCGACAAGGTATAGCCAATGGTGTTGACTGTATCAAATAAAAATTGTGTTCTATCTATTAGTGGCATTATATTCCCTATATTTGCGTTAGTTTTTGTGGAAATAAGTGCAAGGCATTATTTTCGGTGAGTGCATTAATTGAATATAAACAACATTGACAAACAGAATTGTACACCAGGTCCCCAAAAAGTGTGGATGGTTCTGCACAATACCTTCAGCATTATAATCAAATCTCATGTGCTGGGGTCGGGCTGTCAGTTTCCTAGGAATTGATATGCTTGACCCGGATTCGACGTTTTGTCTGCTGGAAGGTAGAAAGCTTCTATGAATGTCAAACTTCCAAACAGATTAGATAATAATCAATGAAAATAGGTATAAATATTCTATTTTCCATTTTTAAATTTAAGAAATTTTTAAAATAATTGGTAACTATAAAAAAATCGATTTTCAAATACTGTGGTTAAACTGAAGAATATTTTGTCACACTGATCGAATTTTGGTCTAAAAAATTCCCGCACAAAAATCGAAAAGACATTAATCGAATGCGCCTTAATCGAAGACTTCCTGTATATATACTCGACTCTCCCGTCGAATCAAGTCAATCCCGTCAAGCAGATCAGTTCCTAGGAA